CTACTTCGGCCAAGACAGATGTGGTGGCACATGACTTTAATCCCGACACCTGGGAGGCAGAAGCCGCTAGATTTTTCTGAGATTGAGGCCAGATTGGTCGATATAGAGTTCCAGGTCACCTGGGGCTATAGGAATAAAAAAAAAAAAAAAAAAAAACAAAAAACAAAAAAAAACGCTGTTCAGGGCTAGCTGGGGCCACAGGGAGACCCTGTCTCAAAACCAAAAAAACAGAACTACTTCAGCCAGATGTGGTGGTACATGCCTGTAATCCTAGCTACTTGGGAGACTGAGGTAGTGAGCTTGAAAATTCAAGGCTAGCTCTAGCAATTTAGTCCAAAGTAAAAATTTTGGTCCTGTCTCGAAATAAAAATTAAAAATGGCTGGGAATTAAACTCAATGGTACAGTGCTTGCCTAGCACACACAAGTCCTTGTTAAATCTCTAGTATTGATAAAATGAGAAAAAAAAAAAGCCTATCTCAGTGTTAAAAACAAATGAAACAGCCAGGTGTGGTAATCCCAGCACTTAGGAGGCAGAGAGGCAGGCAGATCTCTGTGAGTTTGAGGCCAGGGTGGTCTACACAGTGAGTCTGAGGCTCTCTGTGAGTTCGAGGCCAGGGTGGTCTACACAGTGAGTCTGAGGCCAGCTGGGGCTACAGGGAGACTGTCTCAAAAAACCAAAAACAAAAAGCAAACAAACAAAAAAAACCACCCCCTCCCAAAAAATCTAAAACCAAAACAAATTAAAAATGAATGTAATCTGTGGCATATACATATGAACATGACTTAAAAAATTACAGTGAGCTGTTCTTAGTTCTTGAGGTATCTCTATGATAATGAAAGCATGTTTCAGTAATTATTTTCTTTAGAGGAAATACCTTAATCACTAGCTGGCACTTCTCAACTGAGTTTAGTAATGTCTTATAATTAAGTACTATTGTGACAGTCTTATTCAATGCTCAACTTCCATAACAAACACTGTCTTCCAATTTCCCACTCACTCTCTGTTTTAAAACTTGGAATGGTTTCCAATTTAATCTTCTTCTTTGAAACATTTTCTCTTAAGGTGTTTCTCCTTTAGCTTTGAATTACAAATGCAGAGATAATTCCGTTGCCCTGTTTTTCTAAGCCTTCGCTACTTACAGCTCTTACTGCCCATCTACAGTCTTGTTAAGTATCAGTACTCCCAACTGAGCTTCTTAAAACTGCAACTGCAGAGTTGGATGAACGAACAAATGAACTTAGGTGCAATGTACTCACACAACCCTTTATCTAAACTTCATGAAGTTCATTCAGTGACACCCTTGCATAACTGCATGTGTAAGCTCCCATTGCCTTTTCCTTCTATATAGTTTTCTACAGAACATCTGTTAAAACTAGCGTGCTACTAAGAACTAGTGTTATTCCTCAAACAATATTGTCCCCCATTTCCCTCCTGCTATCACTGTAAAACCACATTAATTACTCTACATACTCAAAGTGCTGAAGTACTATGGAGGCCTATGATTTCTTGGAACAAAGGCCACTAATACTGTTCTGCTCAGCAATATCCAAAATTACTATCCAAAGAGGTCCTCACAGACTAAAGGCAGCTTTGTATCGTACAGCCTTTTAACAAGTTTTATTTACTGAGCACATACTATGTTACCAAACACTATACTACCTACATTATAGACCATTCATTGAGCACTCAAAGCACCACGTGAGGAAATACTTCCCACTGTAGAAATGAGATTAAACAAAGAGGTTAAATGACCAGTCACAGAGAACGTTAACATTCAATCCTGACCTTTTGACTTCGGGGCCATGCTGTCACTTACTACCTGGGACACATATTCTGTCAGAAGTAGCATGCTACTTTTGACTATTCTCATCACTTTCCTTGATCCTAATTCCACAAGGCCTCCTCCCAACTGCACTATGTGCAACCTAAACATCAGGATTTTACATTAGCCACTTCTCTCTCCAAGGTGCTTCAGTTTTCGTCAGAGCTGCTCTTTTCCTTACTTGGATATGCCAACTCATTACTTCTGACTCAATGCTCTTGTCAGAAATTCCTGTCTTCTATGGGCTGAAACAATAATGTTACCAGAGGAAAGTGCTCAGATTCCAAATGACTTCAGTCTTGGCTTTACCACTTAGTATCTACGTGAGCATATGTAACTTCAAGTCTCAGTTTCTTCATCTATAAGATGGGAACAGTATCTACTATACAGGGATCTACATTAGGAATAAATAATTAATAAATAAATCTTTACAAAAATTCCAAAAAACAATGAGTCTTTCTGCAAGGAACAATATATTCTAAAATGAAACTGAGATCCTTTTT